GGTGGGGCCGCTGGTGAGGTCCCAGCTAACACAAAGATAGACCATTTTCCCAGTAGCTGCGCCTCCCTTTTATTCTTCCCCCCATCCCCATCAAGTATCAGCAGTATCTAAGGCTGCGCCTCCCTTTTATTCTTCCCCCCATCCCCATCAAGTATCAGCAGTATCTAAGGCCAGCACACTCTCAAACACCGCACACAACCCACTCACAGGGGTTCAAGCTCTTGAACGCCTTTGGAACTGTCAAAATATTGACTAGACAGTTTTGGTGTCGCAGTGTGACTGGCCCCACCATCGCCCGCCCACTTTTGTGGCAAGACACCCCAATGCACTGAATCAGATGTGGCATACAATGCAGCAAGCACCATGACGACCTCTCTGTCTGTCACCTAACCACTCTCTCTCTCTCTCTCTCTCTCTCTCTCTCTCTCTCTCTCTCTCTCTCTCTCTCTCTCTCTCTCTCTCTCTCTCTCTCTCTCTCNCTCTCTCTCTCTCTCTCTCTCTCTCTCTCTCTCTCTCTCTCTCTCTCTCTCTCTCTCTCTCTCTCTCTCTCTCTCTCTCTCTCTCTCTCAATACAAATAGCTTGCCACCTTACAGCACTAGGACCTCTTCTTGCTCCTCCTCATTGTAAAGTCAATCAGCACCAGCACCGGACACTGCATCACGTGACACCAATATACACGCACATATGCCTTAGTTATTTGTACACATAAAATCCTTACATTCACACATGCAGACATAGATACCCCCCCTACCATAACCCCCCCTCCTGCCCAGTCCAGCAGAACAGCCCTCACAGCAAACGGAGGGCAAATGGGGGCATGGGGAAAAGAAAAACGTCAAGGGGGAAGATGCAAGGGGAAGGGTTGAAGGTGGGAGAAGGAAGGGGTGTGGCGGCGGGGTAGTGAGGGTGGGGACATTGGGGATTAGGTACGTCTTAGACAGTATTTGAAGGGATTTTCATGGGGCAGATACAAACAGGGTACTGAGGTGTATGGCTCACTGACATGACATGCATACCATACAGACAAAAGACGAAGCGTTTCCTGCCGAAGGGCATAGCCCGCTGTGAAAGGAGGTTTATTACTCTCAGAGGGAGTCTTTGCACTGGGGTAATAGTCATGACACGAGAAGACAATCGGGGTGATGGGGGTCTGTGCAAGGCCATCCTTTGAATGGGAGGGCTTTGGATAGGGCTTCCCCATCAGCAAGGGTCGTGGCTGGATGGCGAGCACAAGGGGAGATGGAAGGTCAGCCACGTCATATAAATGTTTTTAGAGTAAGTATCCAGTTTAGTCAGAACTGCTAGAACTATGAAACCTGGCTATTTCTGAAACCTGGTTATTTCTTTTTCTTTTATGTGGCCATATGGACCACAGATCAGATACTTGAACTGATCAGAACAGATACTACACTCGATCTTTGCAAAAGGCTGAGAAAGGTATAAACCTGGCTATTTCAGGAGGGACAGGTTCGTCTATGGTTACCACTCGCCAAATCTGATCTTTGGCCTTAAGCCGACTGGTGGTCCAGGCTATGGTGTCATTCCCTCCACGTTCAAATCCGATCCAGATTTTCCGTGCCTTGCAGCGCCATGGACGAAAATGAAAGTAGGCCTAGGCTACCAGCCAGGCCGCCCCGGTCACACCCTGCTTTCTCGGGCAGCCCGGCCGTGCAAGGACCAGAGAAGGTCCTAGTCCAAAAAAAAAAAGGCAGAAAATTAACTGAACATTCTTTGCCTCAGGGGTTGGGACCCACTAGAGACTTTTTACAGCGACTTGCTGGCGTTTTCAATCATGTGAGGCCTTTCATGACACATACAGGGGCTCGTTGGACACTACGCGGAGCGTCCTGGGGGCCAAGCACGAAATCCGAGGAAAAATTTAGCGGGCGTCATCGTTCGACTCATCCTTGGAGCTTTTTCGGGAAAAAAACTCCAAGAAAGAAGAAAAGAAAAAGAAAAACAGTTATAATTGAGGCTTTCAGCCAATAGGGTGCCGCTACAATCCAGATTCCACGTCTCTCTACGTGTGTGCCCTCTTCTCTCTGTGAAACGTGGATCCTTGGCTGCAAGAGACTTCACGACCTCGTTAGGTCCCTTGGAGTCGAGGATGATTTGACTGGGAAATCCTTGGAGTCCAAGCATTTGTCCTCGGATTTTCATTTCGGACAGGTGGAACAAAGACGAAATCCTTGGAATTGCATCCCCAAGGAGTATCTTATGAGGCCCACAGTCCGTGGATGGAGATTGATATCCATGGGCCACCTGTTTGTGAAACCGTGAAGTTTCGTGGCCGCCGGGGTGTCAACCAATCCACCTTCTAGAAAGGCTTACTTCTTTTGATTTTTTAATTCGAATTCCAGTGTTCATCCGTTGCATTTTTGCCCATTTTTGAGGTAGGGGGTGATTTTGCAACGTTTCCTCCTCCATGAGATCGGCAAAACAGAAAAATGACCTTGGGGGTGATTTTGCAACGTTTCCTCCTCCATGAGATCGGCAAAACAGAAAAATGACCTTCAGAGGATGCAGCCAATTGGGTGACCGAAGAACTCATCCTCAAAAACAGGCGACGAATTTGCTGCTTCCTTGCCCATTGGTTGACAGGAGAAGCCAGAAAATGCTTTTGCTTTCTTTAATTCACAGAAAATAGAGGTTTTAAAATCTGCAAAAATCGGGAAAACCATTTTTTTTATTGCAAAAACAGCACCCCACATGTTGTACAACGCTGCTAGTGGGTCCCGACCCCAGGGTCACATCGAAATTTTTTACCGAATTATTATAAAAAAAAAGAAGTTTTTTTAAGTTTTTTTTCTTTTCTTTTTGGCCCGGCCGGGCAAGCGGTCCCGGGCCACTCTGGTAGCCTAGAAGTACGCCCTTTTTTTCTTTTTCATTTTCTTTTCGCAGTTGACTTTTTTTTTTTCAGGTACTTCACAATTCGACCCGAGGCCATGCCCCAGTTTTCGAGGTTCAGTTCTGATTTCAAGTATGCAGGGCTCCCTGCCATCCGATCTGATAATTCCACGGCCACGGTGGTCATGAAAAATACACTAAAACATAAACTAAGGGCGTCGTTAGACACTCCTCGGGGACGCAAATCCCCAAGGAATTGTTCGTTCCACCTATCTTCAGGGATGCAATCCAAAAAAAGAGGTGAAAACACTCGTAAGGAAATTCCTCGAGCATTAGGAATTTCCCCTGCCATTTCTTCCTGTGCCCAAGGGACCTCGCGAGCTCCCTTGGGCACAAGGAATCCACGTTTCACGGAGAGGAGAGGGCACAAGGTTAGATAGACGTACAGCCGAGAATCTGGATCGTGGCGGCACCCTATGGCTGAAGGCCTGCAGCACAACCGTTTTTCTTTTTTCTTTTCTTTTCTTTTCTGACATCAGTCTTAGGAAATGTCATCTGGCGACGTCCCCGAGGACAGGTAGAACGAAGAGCCCAAATTTCTTTTTGAGCCATTAGGAATCTTTCCTATTGCCCGAGGATTCCAATAGGAGCGTCTAAGGACGCCCTAAGCCCCCGCTAATGGGACATGCCGCCTGGAAAACTGACAGCATCAGCCAGCTTAGCCAGCTTAGCTTACAGGCGGTGCCTACAGGCGGTAGCCTGCAGGAAGTCCTTGCTACAGACTTTCCAGATCCCAAGGATCAAATCCTGACATGAAGAAGCATCAACTGAACAAACATGTCTTGAAGTTGCAAGGCCCTGTTTTTTTTTTGTTTTTTTTTTCAAGGCCCTGTTTTTATCTCACAGTGGTGGTCCCAAGTCGACCCAGTATGTTCTTGTCACACAACGTTACGAAGTCTGGTCGATAGTTGAAAAAAGAAGTTAAAAAAGAAATCTAAAGAACATGGCTCAGGAAGAAAAAGAAAATAGCCGTGGGACGTCCGTTAACATTGTAACAATACAGAGAAAAGAAGGAAACATAAAAAGAAAAAGACTACCATCTTCCCCCGAACGCAACGCACCCTGAGAATGCATGTAAACAAGCTACTTTTCCGGTCATATGCGATCATGATCAGGATGCACTGTGCTCGGGGGAAGATGGTAGCATGACCCCTGCGCAAGAGAAAAGAAAAAGGCAAAAAAGCATGCGGAACTCCGAAGGAAAAAAAACTACAGCAATGTCAGAATTGAGCCCCTCCCGCTTGGTACCTGCATCAAAGCAAATCTGAACCAATTATTGTCAGCCATCAAGATACATGATGATCTGGACGGCCAGCGACCAATCAATTGGCTTAACATCAGTTTTAACACAGGTGAACCAATTATTGTCAATCAGACGTCAAGATGATGCCGTCAAGATACATGATTTTGACGGCCAGTCCCCATCTCGAGTTCACACCCTTCAAAAAAAAAGCCACGTTTAGTGTTGCTTGGACGGTGAACTGGGTTGACTACTCTCTTCCMCCMCCCCCCCCCCCCCGCACACAAAAAAAAAGAAAAAAAAGTCAGGTTTCGTGCTGCTTGGACGGTGAACTGGGTTGACGACTCTCTCAATCGGATTTGTTCATCTCTATTGACCGATCATGGCAGACTGGCGTTAGAAATGAAAAATCCAGATCAGAGGGATTCCAGGCCCGAGGCAAAGTCCTCACAGAAGCAGCATCAATGATAAAAAAAGTGGGAATGGGGGAAGGGGGGAAGCCGGGGGGCGGGGGGTGGGGGTGGGGGCCATCTAGACGTGGGTGTATAAATGAAGTTTTCCAGGCCCGAGGCAAAGTCCGCACAGTAGCAGCATCAATGATCTAAAAGGGGGGGAGGGGGAAGGGGGAGTATCTAGAGGTGGGTGTACAAATAAAGTTCACAACTCAAGTGGAAATTTTTGGAGAACATCTGGGTGAACAAATCAAGTTCACAACTCAAATGGAAATTTTTGGAAATTGATCAAAATCATGTAGGGGTGCCTACATCTGGTACCAGTCATGTACCTCGACCCCCTCAAACAACTGCCAAAGCGATGCAGACGACTAACACAACAGAGAAGTATAGATATTATCTCACAATGGCTCTGGAAACGTCATCGCCTTGTCTTCTACCCCCTTCTCTGGTTTTTTTTTTCCACCTACAAATATCCATGACTAGAAGAAAAACTCGTCAACGTGTCACAATGAGAATCTTGGCCAGTGGGCACATTTCCCACAACGAGAAAGGAGGGGGTGGAAAGAAAACAAACAGAAAAAGAGAACAGAAGAAAGACAACCAACGTTTACAATCTGCACTTTAGAAAACGCCAAATGTACAAAAGCAAGAAATTTAGCTGCACAGGTTGTTGTGACTTTCACGGCCTTCCTATGTGTTATTGCGCACGTTGTGATTCGAATAAATTTTCCGACCCCGCGTCTCTCACGTCTACAGTTGCACACTTCTCCCCCGGAGCACCCCCGGCCATCTCTCTCTCTCTCTCTCTCTCTCACCCCGCGTCTCTGATGTCTACAGTTGCACACTTCTCCCCCGGAGCACCCCCGGCCGTCTCTCTCTCTCTCTCTCTCTCTCTCTCTCTCTCTCTCTCTCTCTCTCTCTCTCTGTGTGTGTCTGTGGCGCGCTCGCGCACAGGTGCCACCCGCTGGCATGCTTCTCCCACATAAATAAACACCGCGTTTCACATATGAAGAGACGTTCCTCTGCCTCTTGCCTGCGTCGAGAGGGAGAGAGGAAGATAATGTCTGGGTGAGTGGTCGAAAACCACCGTTCTAACAATCTGGCCAACACCGCAAACCGAGTCTTCGGCCGTGGGATAGTCAATCCGACAAGCGAACTGAACAATAGCGGGCCTACCAGCAACGAGGGCGGTGGGAAGAAAGATAGCGGTTGTTAAACGAAGCCGGAAGTCGTACAGAACTGCAATTATATAGGGAGACAACGTCACGCCGCTACACGAAGTATTTAGGAAGGGCGAGAGGAGCGCAAGGACTGGAAACAGAACACATTAACTTGTCAGGTATCGGCGAAGGACATAGGATCCAGAGCTCCGAGGTAAGCAATGGCAAGTCTTTATTAATGGCTTTCGTTTATCCTGCGTAGAAGAAAGCCACCCCTTCCATGATCAGGGAAGAGATAATCAATCACCATGGCATCCCTAAACGTGCTGCCGCGGCAATCTAAGAATATGACTCGACAATGTGTGGTTAGGTTAATGAGAGGATGAACAGGGATGAGCCCGCCGGCACACGTGAGGCACCTGACTTATCCTAGAGAAAACCAAGCATGCAGCACAGGAGTAAGTTAATGAGAGCGACAGATTGCGCGGCAAGCGAACGTAACACTAACAAAGAAAAGACAAAGAAACGAATCCCTCCTCCATTTGCAGGAGGGGGGTCTTCACACAACTAGCTCTTTGAGAGCTTCAACCTAACTACAGGCTACGCCATAGTAGCTCTCTCTCTCTCTCTCTCTCTCTCTCTCTCTCTCTCTCTCTCTCTCTCTCCACACACATCAAGGGATTCATCCATTCGGACTCGCAAGGACGCGGACCTCTCTCACACGCACATCGAGGCACCGTGCGGGACCTAACTGATGTATTCATCTCTGAGACACATCATCAAGGCATTCATTCATGCAGACCCGCAGGGAGCTCTCTCTCTCTCTCTCTCTCTCTCTCTCTCTCTCTCTCTCTCTCTCTCTCTCTCTCTCTNTCTCTCTCTCTCTCTCTCTCTCTCTCTCTCTCTCTCTCTCTCTCTCTCTCTCTCTCTGTGTGTGTGTCAGGAGGGGGGAGCTTAAGCAAGCGTACATAGCCGGGCGGAAAGACTCATCGGCGCTGATCAGAGTCCCTGACGGGCGAGCCAAATCGAAACAAAGAGAACCATTGTCGCGCGAGTGGAGAGTCTTTGATCTGGTGATTCGGACCTCGGCTGCCTCCTCCATCGTCTCGCTGATGTGTTGATTGCGATGAGCTTCCAGTTTCCCTAACGCTACTGAACCCACTAACCCCACTTCCTCCCGCTGTGGAATTCCCTCCAGTGACCAGCCCCCCAAACACAAACCGATACGCCTGTCTCGCCGCTACGTTGACATCCTGTCTGACCTGTCTCAGATGATTCAGAGTGCTAGTCGTTACCTCCACTGCTGTATCTCCAGCATGCGCGAAGCGGTTGACCCACCCCGGGATGGGCCCTACGCCTAACATTTGGCAGAATGCTTCGCAGAAATGGTTACAGTTCTTCGCCAGTAGATCGTAAGTCCTTCCCTGCCATTCGTAGCCCATTCTCTCCACTATCTCCCTGACCTTCCTCTTGTCCAGAGGCGTCATCCCCAGCACCACCGTCTCTCTGAAAGTGTACATGGGGTTCCGCTTTGGTGCGCAACAATACACACCGGACCCGCGCTCACAATACCCGAACGACCACTCCTCCCCGTGTACCTCCACGGCGCCGTGGAATATCCCGCCAATGCCCATCGTGTCCCTCATGATCTTATTGACCTGTCGAATGGCATTGTTTGTCTTCTCCGACGCGCTATTGGTCACGTCGTAAACGTGAAGAAGAACCTGCGCCATCGCACCCTCTTCGCGCCGACGTTAAATATTGACAGAAATGCAGCGCGCTGCGGAGGAAGGCGACTGGAAATAACGAGAGAGAGAGAGAGAGAGAGAGAGAGAGAGGAGCGCCGCGAGCAGTGCCACGGCGCGAATTTTAATAGATCATTCTATGACCGAGGTCCTCGACCTGGGTAGATCATCATCTCCCTCTTCGGACATGGCGCTTGTAAGTACATCCTCTTCTGCTCTCGTGCCACATCACCTCGAAGTGTTTTCAGTAGATGGTCGAAAGCATGCAACAAGCCCGGCAGATTCAGTAGACAATCAGAGATTGGCGGGGAGAAAGCGGTAAAGGAGTTCTCTGGCCGCAGACTTCCGCCGCTTCTCGTGCTCTCTGCAGACCCGGTCCTCTGATCTCTCTCTCTCTCTCTCTCTCTCTCTCTCTCTCTCTCTCTCTCTCTCTCTCTCTCTCTCTAGTGGTGTCCTCAGAGCTCCGCCGCTTCTCCTGGCCTCTGCCCACCTCTCTCCCTCTCTCTCGTTCCTTCTCTCTCCCCCTCTCTCTCTCTCTCTCACACACACACACGCACACAGATACACATAGACACACACACAAGCGAGCGACCACTAACTCGTGCACTCCGTGGTGGTCTTTCTCTGCTTGTTGATGGAGGCAACTGCCAGAGTGAACTGTTCCGCTCCTCCGCTCGTGCGTCCAAGGATTCCACCTTCCTGGTTCGCTACTTCGCCATCGGGCGACAGGACAGATGCTCTCTCCTCGAAGTGCGCGATGAAGGGAACTCCGCGTTTGTTGCACATACCGCGTCCACGTGCGCCTGGCGTCGTCTCAATTCCCTCGGTCGCTTGGGGCATTTTACTCTAGGCCTACCTTTGCCAGTATTCAGTCCAGCAGGAGTCCGGGTATGGCATCCTTCGCGCCTTTCTGTGCCGTCTTGCGCGCTACCCATTCAGGACACTGTGACACACTGGCAGTACTTTCGTGGGTGTACGGGACAGCATTTACTTGCGGATCTCGGTGTATCTAACTCCCAACCACAACCGCAGGTCAGTCGAAAAATTTCCTAGTGTGATTCTGCCCTCAGGGGGTAGACCTGTGGATGTATCTGGCTCTATTTACCGTCAGATTCGGCCCAGAAAGTTCCAGTGTTCCTCGGATGGAAAGGTTCCGCCTACCAGTAGGAGCGTACCAGGGTCACAAATTGCCAGGTCGAGAATCACCGGCTGCCACCTTCCGAAAAGAAAAAAAGAAAAAAAAAGAAGTATGGGCCTCCCCTAACCACTCACCAGGGTATGAAATGGCGGGTGCATATTGAACCCGAAAGTGGAAAGATACCTAGGTATGTCTTTTGTCTTTTCCACATTTGGTGAGGGGTGCGGTGAGGCCCTTATAACGCCGAGCACCCCTCCAAGCTGTCTAAGCGCAGGACGTCCCGTAACTGGACCGTACGCGGGCAGGATTACGGAGTTTTCACACTTGGAGTTTCTGTACTGAATCTGATCGTTTTCTTGGTCAGATGCATCGAAGAAAACCCTCGGCGGTTTCCATCCTGCAACGTATTGTCTGCCTGTTCAGCTCGAGCACTTCGCTTTTGTACACGGTGAACAGCTCGGTTCGTCCTGCATCTCGGCCATGAGCTGTTGCCTCCGCCCCAGCTTGGTTTATGTGCTCTGTCCACGTCGCACAGCGACGCGCGATGAGCTTGACGTACCATCCGCACGCCATTGTACGTCGCACCTCCTTCCCCGCATTCCGTACGCCATTTTGCTTCGCACCTGGGTCCCGCGCCATCATAGTAATGCGGCTCAGCGGGTCAAGCCTTGTGTGGGCTACGTGCTGTGGCCCAGGAGACGAGTCCCTCACGCCAAATTGTTCCGTCTCTTCTGGGCTCCAGGGCAGAGGCCAAAGCAGAGAATTAGAAAAAGGGCGGCACGAGGCCCAATCACAATACACCGGGCCCTCCAAAGGTCCACCAGCTCTCAGGTAGTCTGGAAACCTTGCAATCTGCGCCCTGCGGGGATATCCCATTGGCCCCAAGTCTGTTCAACTCTTGATGTATTGCCAAGTGACGCTGGACCTGGTTTCCAGTCAGTGAAGGGCCCCACCAATGGGCAGGAGTCATCCACCAGGCCCCTCAGTCCAGTCGATTCTCTTACCACCACTGGACGGCAGGGGGCCAAAGGATGTTTTTTAGAAAGGGAAAATTACATTTGTACCCCACTTAAACCACCAGTACCTTTCCCAGCTTGAAAATCAATTCAAGCCAAGGGGGATTGGGTCGCCATTGACAAATTGAAACCCCAGCCCGTTTTCCGTTTTTGGGCTTTTTTTCCTGCCCATGGCTGATATATGGGAAAGGTACTGATGGCTGGAATACCTGCTAGTCCTACCATCTTCACCCTGGCCGGACATTTTATTCAATCGTCTACCGAAGCAGGATTGGGCCGCAATTGATAAATTGAATCGGCGGCCTAAGCGCTCGTGCAAAAAAAAAAAAAAAAAAAAAAAAAAAAAAAAAAAAAGAGAGAGAGAGAGAGAGAGAGGGGATTCAATGGCAAAAATGGAATATGGCTCAATTATGACTGTGATCAATTTTGTGGTTGAAATGATTTTTTTTTAATTTATTTAATATTTTTCCTGGAGAAATCACAATAAAATCTACGGGCACTTTTATTGTGCCCGTAGATTTTATTGTGATCTCTCCACTTCAGAACCTCTTTCTGAGTAAGCGAACTCGGTAGCTTACTGGCATCATAATGACTGTCACTACAAGTGCATGTTGCTTTTTCTAGCTGCAGTCGTGACACTGGGGTATACGATCTCTCACCAGTGACTGTCTGATAGGCATGCTGCCCAGGCCACTTCGTACCTCTACTTGACGAACTTATAAGTAAGCCCGGTAGCTTGGTAGCTTGCTACTAATAGCTTGCTGTTGTCACAACTGTATGATTGGTCACATGAACAAGTTCAATGTTCAGGGACGCTGGACCCGATTCCAGCAGGTGCTGCTCCCCACCAATAGATGGAGCCTCCCCGGCGCAAGAAAAAAATAAATAATTTTTTTTTTTTGGTCCTGGGTGGTCTTGTCCCGTCGTTTGGCCTGTGAAGGAGGGGCGGTGCTTGCATGTGGGACTTGTCATCTAGGATCCGTTTTTGGTGCTGTTGCTTGTTGCCCCCTGTTTTGTTGTATTTGGCTGTTCCCTTCCTCTTTTCTTTGCCTCTTTGCCCTTTGGCTGTGTGCAAGTGGGTCGATATGACACACGGGAATGGGGGCAGCCGCCGCTCAACCTACATCCACGTGGGCGGCCTTGTACGCATGAGGTTCTGAACAGGGGGAGTTGTAAGTAAGAAGATAAAAAAATGAATTGATATGTTTTTTCAACATTTTGTTTCCTTTTCTTTTTTTGCTTTTGCACTCTGATAACTTTGTGACAATATTTTCAGATTTTTATGCATTCTTCTGAGCGCCACATGTGGTTGAGTGGCAAAAATGGAAAATGCACCGAATCAGCGGCGCGATTATTTCGCGGTCTTAACTAGGCTACCAGCCGGGCCGCCCGGGTCCCGGGTGGCCAGCCCGTGCAAGGACCAGGGAAGGTCCCARMAAAAAAAAAAAAAAAAAAAAAAAACCGAAAAAAAACTATGTTATGCAGAAAAATAAACTGAACAACTTTTGCCTCAGGGTCACATCCTTCACCAAATTTAGAATAAAAAAATAAAATTTAAAAATATTGTTTTGTTTGTGAGGATCTGGGTCCTCGTCAGGCCTACGGGGGCCCCTGTTGCAGATGTTCCCGCCCTAAGTGAAGCCGGGCCTAACAAATCGTGAGAGGCCCTCGGCTGTCAATTCCGTATTTGGGGTCCAGGCAGTTGTGACGCGCCAGTTGGTCGAAGGAAACACAGGCCGAGCAGCAAAGAAATTCCACAGCCTTCCTGGCCTTTTAGCACGTGCGGTCATGTGTGAGTCAGGGCGCTGCATAGCCCAGCCTTCATAGCTGGATGGGGCTTGGTCTACAGTGAGGCGCAGAGGTGGTCTTCAGGTGTACAGAGGGAAGATGTGGGTGTAAGACGAGAAGAGAGAGAAGGATGATGATGATGATGATGATGTGAGGGCACATACCTGGTATTGGCGATGGTCTGTTACGGGCGGCGTCTTCAAGTACTTTACTGGTTGCTGACGTCAACAGTTGCATTGTCAATTAGTAGGCTGGTAGTAGCTGTGTAGGGAGTAGGCTGGGCACTGAGCGCCAGTAGGGAGATAGGCCTGGACACATGTTCGTGGTGGCGAGCACAAGCTCTCATTGACATTGGTTTTCAGTGTTACAATTCTCCACTGGTGTCATATTGGTGCAATGCTGCTTTATGGACACTGTGATACAATCTGGCTTTCAATGTGATTGTGCAATCTGAATATTGTCATCTCACTATTGCTCATTTTCCTTGCAATTTGGTGTCGGAGCTGGTTCGGACTGCGCTTCATTGATTCTTCGCAATAGCTGTTTGGTGCTTCGCATGAGGTGTGGGGCAGTAATAAGGCTTGGGCGTTGAATGTTAGGCGGCCCAGGGTCGTGCGCGCCAGGAAGCTATGTGGTGACATTAGGGGTGTACGCTGGATGATGAGAGCTCGCTGATGTGGCATTTAAGCCGAGGTGGAACTGCATTCTGCTGTTGGTTGTGCCGAGGCGAAGACCGGTCATCAAAAATGCACATCAGGTTGCTGGTGAGAAATCTGTGGTTGGGGGCAGCATTATGAGGTACGTTGCTCTCTTCCTTATCTACCCTCTTCACTACTTTTTTTTTTTTTTGGATAACAACAGAACCTCTCGGTTTTGGCTCCTACCATTCTGGGGAGCAACAGTCCGGTTCCTATTCCCCCGGCAAGTCAAGGATGATACAAAGTTAACCACACACACTCCTCCCCATTATGGTTGGGCGGCCCAAGTGGACGGCATTGATTACTTCCTTTAGGGAAGGATGTATCGCCCCTTACCCCTGCCTAAGTTAGCCTGCATGACTTAGTCTCTGGGTATTGAGGATAAGTTGTTTTCTGCTAACTCTGATTGAAGCGGTTGACTATAAAATGAGGCTTGACTAGCTTACTCCTCTCAGCTATTCGGCTGCCTGATCAGATTTAAGTTATGGAGTCGCTAGCCTGCCCTATTTACTGACTGGTTTGCAAGCTAGATGTGGCTACAGGGTCTATTTGTCTCTGAGGGTCTGTTCAGACTTCTATTCCTAAAACCTTAAACCCTATTCTTTATCCTTCTCTGCCTCTACGTCTGTCTTCTCAAGTAAAGGCTGATCCGTGTTATTCTCTATTTGAAGTGTCTCTACTGAGTTGGCCTGATCTATTTGGTCTAGTCCTTGCTCCTCAGGGTGTTGGGTTCCGTGGGGTGGTTGGTATTGCCCGTACTTACCTTTATTAGTTGCCTGCTAGAAGTCTGGCCTCTAGCAGGGTTAGTCGGGGAGATTAGCTTGACGTTTGGCGCTGAGTTGTTAGTGAGTAGGGGTATGAAACGGGTCTTATACTACTTATCTGTATGAGGGTTGTCACAGGGGTCCTTGATCTGAGTGTGTGTTAGTCGAGTATGGTCCGGGGGTGTGTGGGAGCTGTGGTTTAGTTGGTCTATGCTTTGACTTCTCCAACCTAGGGGGAGTTCATGTGGGGAACGAAGGAGGCTGGTATGCTGTTGAAGGACTCTGTCTGATTGAAAGGCCCGGGAGCGCCTCCCCAGAGTGTAAAGATTAGACTTCAACCCTTGATATGGGCTATTTTACCCTTTGCTAGGTAATTTTCTTCGAATTTCTGTTTCTGTTCCTT